GCTCAAGTGGTAGAGTGCTAGCCTTGAGCTGAAGAGCTGAGGGACAGCACCCAGGCCCAGAGTTCAAGCCCCACAACTGACAAAAAATAAATTAAAAAAATAAGAAAATCCCCTCCTCCCCACAGCCCCCAACCCCCACAAAGCTACCTGTGTTAATTTTCGACCATACATGGAGCCACTGACATCAATCACAAAGACCACATTCTTTGGCACCACTGGAAGGCCTTCAGGAGCAAAGAAGTGCACGAAGTAGCCATTGACCACCTGCAAAGGGAGGGGAGATGGGGACCATGGTCTCTTTAGCAACCCCAGGTGGGCTGCTCTTTCAGGGAGAAGCCACACATTCATTCGTTCATTTTGTGCCATACTGAGACTTGAACCCAGGGCTTTACTCTCTCTCACTTGGCTTTTTCCACTCAAGTGACTTTCTACCACTTGAGCCACCCTTCACATCTGGCTTTTGGCTGGTTAATTGGATATAAGCATCTCATGACTTTTCTGTCTTCACTGGTTTCAAACCATGATCCTCAGGTCTGAGCCTCCTGAGTAGCTAGGATTACAGGTAGGAGCCACCAGCGCCTGACTTAGATATTTATTTAACACACAAGGAGGTGCTGTGCAAAAGTAGAGAAACCGCTGGGGTTGAAGATTGAGGAAGGTAGTACAAGGTACAGCTGTAGCCCCTTCAGACACCATCCTGCTTCCCACTAATGGTGGTGATTTGGCTGTCTTTACCATTGGTGGTTACCTGCACATTGGCTGGAGACTCTCTGTTCACATCATAGGTGATGGTGAAATCTCCATTGAGAAGGGAATCTGTACAAGATGGGCATGAGCGTTGTTGGTCTAAGCTGGGTTTGAAGGATACATGGCCCTGAGGAATGGAGATTGGAGACCGTGTTCAGTTTGGCTGCCCACTGGCACACAGTCCTGGAGAGTCCTCACATTGAGGAGCGCTTAAGTACACAGAAACTGGCAGAAGCTGGAGGCCCACTATGCCGTAGGATGTCAGAGCCTGGTGGACATACCTGCTCAGCATGTTCTCTCTTTCTGAACATCTTTTATCCTGCATGATCAGGATCTTCTAGTGTGTGCTCCATGCTGGAGCTCAGTCTGGATCTGAGTTCAGTCTCCTTTATAAACAGGAGCAGCAACCTCTGCCCTATCTACTGGGCTCTATCTGTCCCTTCCTATACAGTGTATAAGACCTTTAAATCCTTTACCAGGCCATCAGCATTCCCTGTTTTCATCATCCTCACTGCTGACCCTGGTGGCCAAACTCAAAAGTGTCAGGTGGAACCTAAGTCCCTCAGCCCCATACCTGTAAGCCTGTCCTGTTGCAGCCAATGCCCTTGCCCCCTACCCCCAGGTCCCTGAGGCCTCTAAACCACCTTTTTCCCTGAGAAAGACTTGGTGAGGGCACTGCCCAGGAGGTCATTGGTGATGAACGAGGCCGTGGCATCCAGCGTGCTAATACCCTGAGGTTCAAAGATGTGTGCATCAATCTGAAAAGGTCAAAACAAGGAGAAGGTTTTTGTCACTCAGTGAGAGTTCAGAGGCTCTGGGACAAAGACCTATATGGGCTCATGATTACTCAGGGACCCCCTTGAACAATGCTGGGGGCCAAGCCTGCTGCCCCCCACTAGGAAAGTGACCACAGAGACAGTCTTCCCAAAGTGTTGCCACCATCTGCCACGTGTCCTACGTTCAACCATTACAACATTCCCTTTGCCTTGCAGCTTTGGCAGAGGTAAAATGCCTATGACTTAGTTATAAAACATTAGAGGTACTTTAATGGTAGTGCCCTAAGGGCCCAGTGGTCGGCTGAGTCCAGTTCAGCCTTCTGTCCTTGGCCCCCAGGTGCTGTGGCTAAAGGCATTGTAATCACCCCCAAGCCTCCTCAAAGAAGTGGTAAGGCCAGAACTTTTAGATCCCAGGCCTTGCTCTGAGCTCTGCGACATAGGTCCTTCCCTGGGCCCCTCTACAGTTTCAGCAAGGGCTGCAGTAGTGGCAGGAGTGACTGGTTACCTCAAAGTGCTTGACTAGTTGCTTGGGCTGGATCTTGAGGAACATCTCGTACTTGCCCTTGTGCCTCTTCAGCAGCTCCTCATAGGTTAGCTCAAAGGTGACTTTGCTGCCTGCTGCCACATTAACGGAGACCGTGAATTTCTCCAGCTTCCTCCCTGAGGCCCTGGATGGTGTTTAAGTCAGTGTCTGCCCCCAAAGACTGCAGGGACTCACCCTTCTTCAACCCTGGGTTCAAGTTCTAGTTCTATAGTTAGGGAGTTCCCTCAGCATTCCGAGTCTCAGTTGCCTCAACTTCCAAATGAGAAAATGCAACCATTTTGCTATGTTAATCATAACAGCTATTGTTTGCCTCTCTGAAGATCTTTGCATCCCAGAGTTCTCCACCAGACCTGAGGTCTACACTTACTTCACCAAACCAGCAGTCTTTCCCTGGGACACAGCCTTTTCATACTGCTTCTTGGCTGCTTCCTTCTCCTTGACATTCCCAGGGTAGGTGACACCATCAATGGTCCTGCAAGGAAAGACTTGTCACATTGGGCCAGCCCTCCTCTCCCAAGCTCAGAGCCAGTAGCTATGGTGGTACCTACAAGGTGAAATTGGTGATAAAGGCTGTCTTGGGCAGCTCCACATCAAAGGAAACTTCTTTGGCTTTATCTGCACGGTTCACAGCCCTTGTGGTGACAACATTGTGAGCAAAGCGAGAGGTCACCTTGCAACTGATCGTAGTACTGTAGATCTCAATGTCATCAACCACCTGTGAGAGAGGTGGGCAGGGATCATTGGGTGGTGACCAGCTGGACTCTGATCCTGGACAGCCAGCTCTCCAACCTGACAAGTTCTGAAGTCAGGGTCCCTTGGACCTCCTGGTCACTTATATTAGAAGCCTGGGCAATGTCCCCAGTTCCCAAATTCCGATGATCTCCAACATTGCTCCTGATGTTTATTCTGCCTCCTCAACATGAATATGCTTATACATAGCTGCAGCCAATGATATATCATAAAAAGCCTGGATCTGATCCTGACCCCTCTCCCAAGTAAAGCCCTCCCACCATTCCCACATAGTCCCCAGAACAATCTTCCTCAGCTCCAAGATCCTCCAGGAAAGTCCTGTTTCTTCAGCCTGAGCTCTAGCCAGGCCCAAGGCCTTGCCCAGCTCTTCCTGGGCATCGTTCTTGCCACAACCTCTTTCCCTACCTACTCAGCTACTTCCTTTGTCCTTTGTCACTGTCCTACAAGAGACAAGTACTTCTTGAGCCAAAGGGAGTCTTTGGACACCTCTGGAGTCTGTATCCAACAGGGATGATAGAGACAACTAGGTTAAGCAGGGGTAGTGACAGGGGGCGCTTCATTGTGTTCTTAGCTTCGCACACAGGGCCAAATACCTGCTGGTACTTGGCCAGTGTTGTGGAAAGTAAGGATGACTGATGGGAGCACTCCTGAGCTACTTCCTACGTGATTTCATGGTGCTCTTTCCTGTGGATCTTGTGTCATAGGAGAGTCTGGCAGGCCATGGGGCCTGGCAGTTGTGGGACACCTGCCATTATGGCTCCCATGTTTAGTGATTAGGTAACCATCTTCATTTTCCCCTACTCCCTTGGCCCGGACTCCAGTGAAAGTTCTCACCCCTTCCGGGAGGCTCCGTTTCTGCAAAAACAAAGAAAAACAGAGTTCAAGCGGCCAGCAAGGCCAGTATAACCTGAGAGTGGGTTCTGGGCTGCGGCCAGAACTCAGAGTGAGGGGCCTTGCCATATACTTCTAGGGGTCTCCAGACACATGTCAGAGTAGGAAAGACTCTGAATAATTGGGGACACTGTGGTCCAGTTGGTCAGGTCTCCAGGTTACGCAGGAATTAAGGCAGGAAAAATAAGACTCAGAGCTCTCTCCATGACTTACAAACCCCTTCTCCTTCTGAATTTCCTTGTACCCTTAGACTTCTAGAATATCCCTACCCCCCACTACCATAATGACTCAGCTCCACATTTTATAGAGGCCTCTGCACCTGTCTGAGACTTGAACCTTCATAGCCCTCAGTGAGGCAAGAAATTCATGGTGAAACAATTGGATAGATGGAGAAAACTGGGGTCCAGGAGGTCTTAGAAGGTATAGTATAGGTCTTAGTCTGCCTTCACCCCACTCAGAGGACTTGCCCAGATGGGTGCCTTCTGCCCATTTACCCCCAGGTTCCTGATAGCAGAGTGGGGGACAGACTTACCCCAAGTAGCCGGAAGGGACTTCTTGGAAAGCTGGAGGCTGCCAAACTAGGTAGCAGAGCCAACGCGAGACAGGACCACAAAGCTAACGCCATTGCTGAACACAGAGGCCTGGCTCACTCTCCTTATATGAGCCAGCCCAGTGTTTTCCAAGCAGGGTCAATGACCTGCAGCATGGGGCTGGAGCAGTGGAGGTGGGAAGCTGAGTGGAGGTAGAATAACAGCCTGGGTATGTGTGTATGGAGAAGACCCTGTGAGTATTAACAATGTTGAGGCTTCACTCCTGACAGGCCAGGGACATGGAGGAAAGTAGAAACTATGCCAACAAGTGGACCCTGGGCCTCCCTGGTGGGGGTAGGGGTTGTGAGTTGGATGTGAGTTGCATTTAGAGTGAAAGGCATCTCTGCATCATTGCCTCTTGCCCCTAGATCACAGCCCCGCCCCCGCCTACTAAAGGTATCCAGGGCACAGAGCTAGACCCTCATCTTCAGGTTGGATCTTTTGCTCATGGTTGAGCCTCATCCTCATTACCTTGCTAGAGCTGGCAGGGCTCCATGAGCAAGTCCTGCAGCCCAGCTCTCTCTGGGTTTTGGCTCCAACTTGCTTTTTTTCTGGGTTTATTCTCCTCTGGCTACATGTGGCACCTCGTCCTTCCTCTGTCAGCCTACCTGGTCATTACGTTATGTTGAGCTTTCTGTCCTCAGGTCTGACGGACTCTTTTAGACCTAGAGCTCCTGGAGGCAATACCACGTCACTCCCAGAGCTCCCTCTGTGCTCCCAGGCCTCGGCCTCTTGGGGAGTAATTCCCCTAAATGTTTCTAGTAACAATGGTGCTCCAGTGCCCAGGGCAGTGGCAACTTTAGAGAAGGACCTAAACCTTAATGATTAAAAGTACCTCCCAATAGGGATTGAGGCTTCCTGAGCCATATCTGGACCCTGTCAATTCTTGGTGGCTTCTGAGCAGCTGTGATATGCCCATGGTTGTGGATGGTGCCGTGTGTGGGGCTGAAAACTCTCAGCCCAACTCTTGAGATGTTCAGAGAGTTGGTTGTAGAAAGCAGGACTTGTAAGGCAGTATTTCCACAGGATTTGGCCTAATGGCTGGAAGTGGCAAGAGCCACACAGCAATAATAGAGTTGATAAGTCAGCAAAAATGAAGTGATAGATGTCACTGTTGATAGGCAACTGCCTAGGCCCAGCTGGATGGGACCTGTTCTACGGCCTCCTGAGTTCTGAGTTCGTTGGTAGCAGGAGCTACCAATGGATACTAACAGAGACCAAGCCCAGGATGTGCTAATACCTGGAGTGGGGGAAGACCCCTCAGAACTACAGCTGGGCCTCTTTGCTATCTCTGGGAACGTCTGGTTCACATGGCCATTTTTCCTCCTTGTGATTACTACTAGGTGGCTGGGGCAAGGAAAGGGCTTTGATTCTGCCATGTGGTCCAATAGCTCCTCCTCATGGCCTCATGGCTGCCTGTGGAGCTTTTCCTGCCTCTTTTATCTGAACCATTGCTTCATTCCCAGACACTTGGAGATTTAGGAATAACTTGAAATATGGATTCTGTGACTACTTATGAGGGATGCTCAGGAATGTGGAATGAACTATAGTCATTGTGCAGAATTAGAACTACATGGACTCAAATATCTTCAGGGTGAACTTATTCTACAGGAGGAGAAAATGAGGCCCACGTTGGACAAAGCATTGCCCAGACCAGCTTAGCCATCTGGTAGCCCACATTCTTCCTGGAGAAGGCCGGGATGCTTTAGATGGTGAGGCTTCCCACTGCCTGCTGCTAAGGGGCTTTGTGTTCCTAGACCCAGGACAACCTTTGAGCTCAGTGTTTATATTATTCATCTGGGCCTTCAAAACCAGTTCTTGTCCTATCTGGGTCCTCAGAGGCCTTAGTTGTAGTGGATACTGGACAGAAGCCAGCAGAGGAAAAAGCAGAAACTCTTTGTGGTTAGAGACCCATCCCCTTTTACATGAAGTGTAAATGGCTTCTAAAACCATGGGCTCCATTGCCTTGTACTTTGTGATGTTGCATTTCCACCAGGTCCAAAGGCCAACAGTTCTAGACATCAGTGTAAAGAGACAAAGGGTGACGAAACCTGGACACCTGACATGCCAGGCTTGAGCAATGGCTGTCTCTCTGCTTTTGGGAAGTACCAGCCTGAATGTCGGGAAATGAGACTGAAGTAGAGGCTTTGACTTCCACAGGACAGCCTCCTGTGTTTGGTAGAACCTTTTCTGGACCCTAAGTCTACCTGGAAATAGGCATTTTCATATTTTAAGTTATGTAAAACTGAGTTCCAACAAGCTTGAACCAGTCGCCTTCAGCGGAGTGGAATATTCACATATTATTGAAGTTTGACAAGCAGCAAGGGTCCAAATCCCAGTTCTGCCACTGGTAAGCTGAGTGGCTTTGGATACCTCCACTGTGAACAGCCTTGGTAAGAGTATACCAAAGGGCTGCAAGGAGCATACATTTAGGGGATACAAGGAAAGCACTTTAGGAAAGTTTGGATCAGTTGTGACTTTCACCATTGCCAGATACCCCACAGGTCCCTGGCCTTCAAGGGGGGCTTTATACAGAGGACATGGAGACCAGGCAGCTTCAGGGAACGTGGGGCAGGACTGATGAGTCGCCCTCTCACTTCTGTGTCTTCTGATCCCAGAGTAACCCAGAAGGGCAACGTGTTGGATTGTTCCCTGACATCCTCCCTCCCCTAAAGCACCCACCCAGCTCTGGGATAGACACAGCTTCTCTTTAATGGAAGTTACAGAATGCTTTAACACAAGGGACCAGTGCAGACAGGGAGGTATAGTGGGTCAGGATGGTGTCCTTCTCTGCAGTGTCTCAAGAGAGCTCCTGGATGCCAGCTGATGCTCAGAAGATAGCAGGGACTATATAGTCAGTGTAAATGCCATCTATCAGTCCAGCTCCATTGTTGTGGACAAACCAACAGGACACCTCCGCTCCATGTCGGGAGTCCTTGCTGTAGTCTTTTTGCAAGCCCCTGGAACAAACAAGTCAGCTAGAATCACTCCTTGGGCCTGGTAAGGCTGCAACTCCCACTAAACTCACCCCCACCATAGTAATACCTGCAGGAAGGCCCAAACCAAGGACAGGAAACAAAAAAGCAGCCAGGGGCAGAAGTGCTGAAGAATAGCCCACTTACTTGGTAACTGTTAACCAGCGGTTCTTCAATACCAGCGTGGCCTTTGGCTTTGTAGAGTCAGAACCTGGGTGGATGTCAGTTACTTCAAATTCAAAGGGATGGAAGAATTGTCCTGAAAAGAGAGATCACAGGCAACAGTTACTGCTAGAGACTTTTTCTTACCTTGTACTTGTCCTGGAGGAGCTGAGCAAATTGTTTGAATTTTTCTCAAGGGCTTATTTCTGAGAAGTCTTGCTATCCATCAAAAGCAACCTTAATTCTTTCTGTAGAGAAACAGGTATAGTCCCAGGTGGTCCTAACTCCTGTTTTTTTTTAAATCCAGTTCTAAAGGGATCTGGCTGGGAGAGAGGTTAGAGGTACATGTGCCCTTAGAGAGCAGGACCAACAGAGAGGTCACACAGGAACAGAGTGGCTGATACCCGACTCCACTCACGAGGTGCTGGAGCCACCAAACCCTTCTGCTTGCTAATCAAGCCTTTCCTCACATCACACCTGCAAGCTCACTGAGGTTTTGTTCTATTGTATGTTTGATCACAGTTTTGTAGAGGGCAAGATTCAGATCAAGACAGCTCATCTTCAGAGGTCTGAGTCTTGGAGACTATGTTAAAGATTGGCTTGTATAACTGTCAGAAGACTCATGAATACTCAAATGCATAGCTCTGCCCTCCTGGCCAGCCATACCCAGCAGCCCATGTGTCCGAGCTGACATCCCGTGACTATCCAACACGTAGAAGCCCAGGAAGTCTTGATGGACTGCACTCCCCTTCCACGTCTGGTGCAGGACAACCTCAAAGGTGGCCCTGTCATCCACAGCCACCATCAAGTTTCTCTTCTTGTTGATGGTCACCACAATTCTGCAAGGCCAAGTGGTTATTAGGTCTGAGTAACTGCACTGCATCCCTTTCCGTTCAGCTCATCCTCTCAACACAGCTCTTAGGACCTTGCCTCGAAGGCCTTCACCTCCACAGGGCTGAGTGTTACTTACCTATACCCCTTTCACATGGTTCTGCTGCTCAGAATCATGCAGTGGTGCTCAGCAGCATTTGTTGAATAAATGAATGAACAAAGGAAGGAACAGCAGGGGACAGGGTAAACGGGGACAGATGCCAAAAGAGCAAAAGAGTGGTAGGGACGCAGTGGAATTCAGGGTGAGGGTGTCCTGGGAGCGCACGCAGGCCCATCAACGTAGAAAATGAGATGGGATGGTCCCTGATTCTGACTTGTGTGCACAGGCCCCGTGGGCATCACCCCCCTGACATTGCTTGGGGGATGTGGATTTTATAGGTTCAGACAGCAGAGCTTGCACTAGGAGCTTTGGGCTTTAACCAAAGCCACACCTCTCCCACCTCCCTTCCCTGCTTGGGCCTACTTACCCATCTTGTCGCAGAGCAGCCTGGTCCTTCCAGGAAAACACAGGCCCACCAGAGCTGGGGTTCAGTGTAATGTTCTGAGGAGTAACTTCCAGCTGGAAATCTGTTGCAGGGTTTGCAATCCCTAGCCGCCCCAAGTAGGTGCTCTCATGCTGCCCAGCACTTTTGACCTTGCTGCTGATGAGCTGCCCATTCACTGAGAAGCCTGTGGTAGAATGAAGATCCATCCAGTTGGGGGAGGCGGAGGGAGCCGAACTACTTTGCTCATGCTGGGCCAATTTTCTGGGAGGTCCCTATTGGGTACCTGACCTTCAAAACTGGTCCTGCTCACAAGAGCAGCTCTCTTTCCTTCCTGCCTCCCTATCCTCCTCTCCTGGATACGCTAGACATTCCCTACTTAGCCCTCCCTTCTGAGCTTTGACAGCGGTCTAGACTTTTTGAGGCCAGGACAGGGGACTTGCTCCTTCTCACAGGGCAGACTCACAGTGCTAGAACTGTTTGTTTGAAGTCTCTTCATGGAACAACCAAGAGCCACATCCATAGCCTCACTTTCCCAACATGACGTGTCTCACATGGGCTATAGCGAGAGAGCAGGAGATGTCTTCCTTGCTCCAGGCTCTCCTGAAGAGCTGTACTTTGAGGCTCTGCACAGCCATGCAGTAGGGAAGATGGGGCAGGACACCCCTAGAATACTACATTCTAGTAGATGGAAATAAGAATCGCTTTTAAAATGGCAAGGAAAGCCAGCCTCTGGTGATTCATGCCTGTAATCCTAGCTACTTAGGAGGCTGAGATCTGAGGAATATAGTTTGAAGTCCACCCAGGCAGAAAGTCTGTCTCCAATTAATCACTAAAAAAGCCAGAAGCAGAGCTGTGGCTCAAGTGGCAGAGTGGTAGACTTGAGCACAAAAGCTCAAGGATAGTGCTCAGGCACTGAGTTCAAGTCTCATAATCAGTACCAAAAAAAAAAAAAAAGACAGCAAGAGCTGAGCTTTAAACTAATTATGAGGCCCTTAAATGTAGATCCGATATGTCTATGAGTCACACATTCATGAGACTAGATGGGCCTTGAAAAGGGCAGCCTGGGTCACAGAGAAGAAGGTAAGGGGACCCCAGCAAAGTAAACAGTGGGCAGTGGAGACTACACCATAGTCCTGACCTTGGCTGAACATAGAAGGTGAAAGAGGCCTTATTCTGCTCTGTCTGGCACAGGGCATGATACCATCATACCTGTGTCAGGGTCCTGGACTAGGTTCAAGATCGCACCAGGCTTCTCATTGATGTTGAAGCACAGGACATCCTCTTTCTGGGGCACATGGATGATGAAGTGGGGATCAGTGTCCACTGGGAGCACAACATGGAATCCATTAGATTAGGCATTGTGCAGCGGGGGCAAGTGTTCAATGAGGCAGATCCCAGAGACAAGTGGGACAGGCAAGGTGGATGCCAAGCAGGGGCATCCTCAACCCTTCCCAAGGACTTACCACCTGTCACTTGGTCTGGCAGATGAGAACTAATGAGGCTGTTACTAGTAGGAGAAGGCTGTAATGCAGACAGCACGAACGCTGTGGGTAAGAGTGAATGGCATTGAAGAGGGAGGTGGCTAGGCCTTTCTGGAGATGCCCTTGTACCCAGTAAGCTGGCCTGCGGCTGCAGGAGTAGGGGTCAAGGTCTATAGAGGATCACACGCTCTCAATTTCCCCTTAGATTTGGTTCTGTGTGGTTGACTGGTCCCCTCTGCCTCCTGCCATGGAGATCCAAGTTCAGATGGACAAGCCCTAGTGATGGAATGGTTCTAAACACTTCTAGGGCAGCAAGGAAAAGGGCTGGAACTGGTGGTGATCCAGGGCTTGGGTTAGGGCTGAGGGCTCGTATGGAGGGCCAGTAGTGTGAGTAGAGAGGAGTGAACATGAGAGCTCCCAGGATGGCTGCCACTTACTCCTTCTGGGTCCCACCATCTCTGTAGAAGACAAAGCACAGTGTTACCGTGGCACCTTCCCTGCCCACCTCTCTTACCCACAAGGCATATGGCCTCATCCATATACTGGTTCCTGGAGGGTCTCCTCAGGGGGCCTCTGACCCCCTCACTGACACATTTGGACCCAGCCAAGCCCAAGGAGAGGGTGGAGGGGTCAGGATGTGCAAAGACTCTCATAGCACAAAGCAACGGAAAGGAAGAAATGTGGGAAGGACAGGAGTTAGGGCAGATATGGAAATGAGGAGTTGTGTGCCTAGGTTCTGGAGCATGTGCTATCTGCACGACCACCAGAAGCCCCATATTAAATCAGCATAATTTAAAACTCACCCAAGGGCTGAGAATCTGGAAGGGAGAAAAGAGGAAGAGAATTAAAGCCCAGAAGGTTTTTGATCCACATCCTTCCCCTCGGCAGACCCCCTGCTGCCCATACCCTCTGGGGGCTTGTCAATGGTAGGCTCCAGCCCATCCTCATCTGTCATGCCCCTGATGGTCATGGAGGTCAAGGGGGTCACGAACTGATAGGCAAGAGACATCTTCAGGATCTGGGACGACAGGTTGGCCTTCTCCTCCCCCTCCATGTTCATCCTGTGTGTGTGTGACAGATACTGCTCTAAGACTTTAACTCAGGTAGAGATGAATTTATTTTCCCTCATCTTCCAATCAATTCTTTTTCTCTATTTTTTTTTTTGTGTGCTAGAACTGGGGCTTGAACTCAGAGCCTGAGTGCTGCTGCTCCTTAGCTTTTGTATTCAAGGCTGGCACTCTACCACTTGAGCACTTCTCCACTTCTGGCTTTTTGGTGGATAATTGGAGATAAGAGTCTCATGGACTTTCCTGCCTCGGCTGGCTTTGAACTGTGATCCTCAGATCCTAGCCTGCTGAGTAGCTAGGATTACAGGCATGAGCCACCAATGCAATTCTTACTCACTTGCTCATTCGATACGCACTGAACCAGGTACCCTGCTCAACAGCAATAGTCTCAGAGTCCTCAAGTTTTCATGAATGTCTGCAGAGATTTGGCAGGGTTGAGAAGGTATATCTTAGAGATACACAGCAAAAATAACAACTGTGAGATCTAGGATAAGTAGTCTAACTTTTCTGAACCGCAGATTGCTCTCCATTAAATGGGAGACAATAAGGAATCTTTCCACACATTGGGAGAACTAAATGAGTATGTTAAGATGGAGTATTCCTCGGACTGGGAATGTGGCTTAGTGGTAGAGTGCTTGCCCAGCATGCATGAAGCCCTGGGTTCGATTCCTCAGTATCACATAAACATAAAAGGCTGGAAATGGTGCTGGCTCAAGTGGTAGAGCCTTGATCAAAAGAAGAAGCTCAGGGACAGTGCCTAGGCCCTGAGTTCAAGCCCCAGGACTAGTCAAAAAGAAAAAGATGCAGTATCCCTACAGCAAATGGCAGCTTCTGCCATGGATGCTCAGAGGGGCAAATAGGAGGTCGCCCTCTCCCCAGCGGATGCCATCCATGCTGTTGACCAACTGGTTCCTATGAACTCTGTGAGCAAAGCAGAAGAATCGATTCCCTCACAACCACAAAGGCCCAGAATCATCACCCCTTTCTGTTCATCTCCCATGGATAAGGGACTCTGAGGTGCTCATTCCTGGCATCTATAGGCAACACCCTACCGTTTGGCCAGCAGCTCCTGGATAGTGAGGTATGCCCAGAGGCGTTCCACATGGTTCTCCAACATGTGGCCACGTTCTTTGAGCAGCGTCTTCATCTCTTCCTCATCCACAAGGCAGGTTGCCTTGAATTCTTGTCCCCCCTGAGATTGGAGATAAGGAGAAAAGGCTATGCCCCATGAAGAGCATAATTTTGGCTTGTGTCTGAGGCTCTAAGGAGCCCCGGTATTACTTGGTCTTTGTAGTGCATTTTCAGCATCACTTCTTTTCCAAGCCCATTTTCCTCATCCTCATTCATTCATTCAATCTACAGATGCTGGCCCACTATGCCCTGTGAGCTGGGCTCCTAAATCCTGGAAGATCCAGATCTTATGGAATGGAGGACCAGGCCCTGCCTTCATGGAATTACTGTCTCTAGGAAAGCCATCAATCACCCAGCTGTTTCTACTGTTATCTATTTGTCCAAATGCCCACCAAGTTCTACCAGGTGCCATTTAGCTTGCCATAGCACATGAATGGGTCCTTTTCCCCCCAAGGTATTCATTCTATGCACCAGGAACTATCAGAGCATCATATGGATTATTGCATGTACCTCACTCAACACTTGAGGGCAGAGTTAGCCACATGGTACAGAAATGCAGAGAGCAGGACCTGTTTGCCTGAGGCCAGTCATTTGGTCAAGCCAGAGACAAGATCTGGCTCAGCTCTCCTCACTCAAAGTCCTGGTTCTGAGCCCTTAACCCCACTGTGGTCTTGAGTCTATACACACACTGTACAACATATGTGCACACACTGCACTATGGCACCAAGCCTGGCATACATGAAGTGTCCAGGAAGTGGGTGTCAAGTAAGAACAAGAGTTTGATCTCTTGTTCTCAAATACCCTGAGGGGAATGATATGAGGAGTAACACCATGATCCATTTAGGACCAAGGGATGGCTACTAACTAAGGTTATGTTGGTCCCATTCCAGCCCATGCAGCTCTAGGCTTAACCTGTTGTAGCATGGTGGGGGTGGGGACATTATTCTGGGGGAAAAAAACCAGGATTCTGGGAATGGATATAGTAGAGAATAGTACAGTTGTAATGCTTTCTGTCCTGTCCCACCCTACTTTGCCCATCACTTACCCCATGGGCCCGCACATCAGCCTTGAAACTGCCCAGTTTGTTGTCAGCAATACGTCCAGCTACCACAATCTCTGAGCCATCATAGTACTGCTTATGTCGGTGCTGGGTCAGAGCCACGACGGCATCCTGAGGGTACTGCAGCTCCACATCTGTCAGCAGGGGGCTGGCTACCTGCTTGTAGAAACCCTGCAGGAATAAGGGGTAGAAGCCTCAGTACTGAGTACCTGGTATCTTAGGAAGTTGGCTAACAAAATGGAGTATTGTGGTCCCCATTTTAGAGGAGTTCACTCAGAGCAGACTCTGAGGCCCAGAGAGTGTTATTAACTGGCTCAAGGCCATACAACTGATTTGAACTCTGCATCAGAGCTTTATCTTCTCCTCTAGGTGAATGGCCAAATGGCCAGGAATACCACCCTCCCTATAGCATGCTGTAAGAGATAAAGGGAGGTAAGGAGAAACCTGTAGCTGCTGGCTGGCATCATGGTCTTCATAGATTCTCTGGGCCCATCCGTTGTTCTCCCTGGACATGACGTCCAGGAAGCTAAAGTCCAGGTTGTGACCAAAGCCCAGGTTATACAGCGGGAACCTGCCCCGAATGGCGTTGCGAACGTTCTTGAGGATCTGGGAACGATCCGTTTCCCCTGCAGCCACACATCCAGACAGGGGACTGGAGACTTTGCAGAGCACTGTCTGGGGAGGTCAAGTCTCCCATCTCAGACCTCCTCCAGCCCTTATTCACATTGTCCATGGCAACAGCTGGAAACAGACCTCTTCAGAGACTCCACCCATCCATATGGCTTCATTCTAGACAGATCTGATTCTGGCTCTTTGTTGTGGTCTGTGAGGGGCCCTGCCAACCTTTCCATCCTCATTTTACCCAATTCTATATATGCCCCCTATAATTCCAGGGCAGGCTCTGCAGCACTTTCTTTGTCTCTAGCTGCCCCCTCTGTCAGAGCTACTGTCTTACCTCCTCCCAGATCTCATCCGGGAAGTGCCCCTTGTTTGGTGTCTTACAACCCAGTAGCATGTTTTTCCTTCTGGGCCCTTGCCAGAGCCTCTGTTGTTGGGTCTCCTTCCCCAGTGAACCCTGTGCTTCTTGAGGGCAGAGAAACATCTCATTCTCTTGGTATTTTTTTCTCAATCCCTCATCCTAGGTTTGGCATGAAGTAGATACTAAAAAAATAGTTGAGTGGGTTGGAAAGGTGGCTCAGTGTAGAGTGCTTGCCTTGCATGCATGAGGCCCTGGGTTCGATTCCTCAGCACCACATAAGCAGAAAAAAAAAGGCCGGAAGTGGTACTGTGGCTCAAGTGGTAGAGTGCTAGCCTTGAAGAGCTGAAGGACAGGGCCCAGGCCCAGAGCTCAGGCCCACAACCCGACCCCCCCCCAAAAAAGAAAAGAAAATAGTTGATTAAACTTGACTTACAGATCCTGTGGATCCTCCAGGAGCCTGTTCAGCCCTATGTCATGCAGAAACAACCCCAGTTCCCAACCCATAAGACAGAGGTACGCTTTAAAACTCCCATGGATTTTATGATCTGAATTGTATTTTTAGATCAGCGTTTGACTTCAGCTTGAGTCTTTTCACCCTACCGGCATCTGCAGTGGTTGGGTTTCCAATGTCAACTTAACCACTCGGGTAACACATGATCACCTCCCAGGGCAGCCTACGAGGTGCCTACCTTCAGTGGGCTCCCCATCTGTCAACATGATGAGAATCAAGGCATGGTTGCTGACTTCTGGGAGGCTTTCCTGAGCTTTGTTCAAAATCTCAATTCCCCGAAGCAAACCTCCATTCAGGTTGGTAGCTGTGTCGGAAATTAATCAAACCAATGTATGCTCGCTCGTGTTCCAAGGAAAAAGGGGTGATGTCAGTGTCCTGTGATACTCATCCTTACCCCCAGCCAGGAAGAAGCGCCTCACAAATTCTCGAGCTGCTTGCAGATTGGCCTCCGATGCTTGCACCAGTGAACCTTTCCATGATTTCACTTGAGACCCAAAGAGAACCAGGTCAAAGTAGTCTTCTGGCCGTATGTCCTCCAGGATTTTAAGGAGTGCCTCTTTGGTCTGTAAGGACAGGACAGTTAGTGGAGCAGCATGACTTCAGAATAACTGCAGGATAGTGCTTCCTGCCGACTTCAGATAGCCATTTCAGAGATCCATAAAGCAGAGGACAGTCTGGACATCCAGAAGACCCTAAGAGAGGAGCATCCTGCTGGCCCTGGCGGATGAAGGGCCAGCATGGGAGAAATGACTAAATGTTACTGGAGGCTAAGTTGACATTGAAGGTGACACTGGAGATGCCATTGGGGACAGAAAGACTCAAGGTGAAGTCCAACACTGGTCTAAACATCCTGTTTATCTGCCATAGTGGTTTAGTACTTATATTTTTGGTTGGAGGCAGGGTGATTTAGCGGGAATCTCAGTGGTTATAGGCCATGGTTTCACTACACTCCGAGTACATGCTGAAGGCTGGGCCCTGCTACAAGTCACTTCCCCACAGACTAACTTTAATTACTCCCAGCACTACTTGTCATGCTTAAGTTGCTGCTGCTTCTTATTGTTTCTGTGCCATTACTGGGGCTTGAACACAGGGCTTGAATTCTGTCTCTGAATGTTTTTGCTCAGGGCTAAGGCTCTACCACTTGAGTCACAGCTCTAGTTCTGGCATTTTGCTGGTTAATTGGAGATAAGAATTTCAAGGAGTCTCCTGACTGGGCTGCCTTTGAAAGACAACCCTCAGATCTCAGCTCCCTGAGTAGCTAGGATTACAGATGTGAGCTACTGGCAGCCTGGCTATGCCTAGGTTTCTTCTTCTCTGTCAGGAAACTCCATGAGCCCTTGGCTACTATTAGGCTTAGTTTTCACACTGTAGAGAAGTGAATGTACTCAGTCATGTTTCACAGTGAGGAAGTGATGGCTGATCCCACAGTCTCTAACCATTGAGATTCCCAGATAAATCACCCTGCTTTCAATGAAGAGCGTAAGTTCTAACTACTATGGCAGACAAATAGGTTGTTTAGACCGGTCTTTCACCTTGAGTCTTTCTACCCCCAATAGCATTTCCAATGGTTAGGATTCCAATGTCAACCACCTCCAGTAACAAGGAGATCGCCACTTCACAGGACAGCCTGGCTCCAAATTAATTATGTTTCTAAGAAAATTAAAGGGGTAGAAGAAGCTTCTTCTGGGCCTGAGGATGTAGCTCAGTGCTATTGTGTTTGCCTCTCATGCACTAGGTGGTTCAACCCCAGCACTGGAGGACAAAAAGCGTCTGCTAGATGAGCTGCTCAAGGCTGTAGTATACCTGCTTCACTTTCTGGCCTTCCATGGAGTCACTGATGTCAATCACAAAAACCAGGTTCTTGCTCAGGCTTGTCAGATTTTGTGGGGCAAAGAAGTGGGCAAAGTAGTTATTGGCCACCTGAAACAGAAGCGAACAAGTGAATCTTCTCGAGTACTCCTTGCCTGTGTTCTGGGGCTTGGGCCAGGAACCTTAGGCTTACCAGGAGGTCACAGACTTTGCCCCTATTGACATCATAGGTCACCTTGAAGTCCCCATTCAGCAAGGATGTAGAACATGTGGGACAGGTCTGCTGCTGGCCCACAGTGGGGCGGAAGAGTACGTGACCCTAGAGCCATAGAAAGTATGAGGTAGGCAAGGAGGAAATTGAGGCTCAAGCAAGCCAGTAATTCAACCTAGATCGGGCAGCTCATGAATGGTGGATCTGGAGCTCTTCACCCCAGGACACAGACTTTACCAAATTGCTGTGTAAAGTAGGAAATTGTACTACTCTGGGATACCAACCCTTCCGAAACTGTCAGCCAAAATAAAATCTTCCTCCTTTACTCTTTTGCTGTTACATCTTATATGGTTCTGTGCAGTGAAGGCATATTCCCTAATGTAGGCTGTATTCAGAGGGTTTGGGAAGATGATTGGCTCAAACAAGATGAATTCAAAACTGATGAATTCAAAATTGATTGAATAGGCTCTTGGAAGGTGGTAGAACTATGAAAGGTGGGGCCTAGTTGGAGGAAGGTGATCATGGGCATGCATTTTTGAATAGTATTTTTCCCTAGCCAGACGACAGTGACTTAAACCTGAAATCCTAGCTACACAGGAGGCTGAGATCTGAGGATCGTAATTCAAAGCCAGCCCTGGCAGAAAAGCCTCCATAAGACTCTTATATCCAATTAATCACTCAAAAACTGGAAGTGGTGTTGTGGCTCAAGTGGTAGAGTGCTAGCCCTGAGCACAAAGAGGCTCAGGGACAGTGCCCAGGCCCTGAGTTCAAATCCCACAACCAAAAAAAAAAGTATTTTTCCCCAACTCCCTTCATCTGTCTTCTCTCTGCTGCATGGCTGCCAGGAGGGGAGCAACTTTGCTCCCCCCTGGGGTTCTGTCTCACCATAGCACATAAACACTAGAGCTCCATGATGGTATACTGAGACCTCTGAAACTTTGGGCATTTCTTCCTCCTTTAACTTGTTCCTCTCAGGGATTTGTCACAATGATGAAAAGTCTAATACTCTCATTCTGAGGGAAGCATGCAGCCATTGTGAGGGTGCTAAGCCTGAATATTCCTAATGAGTGATCGATCCCTAAGGGACATCCCATCCCCAGCCATCTCACCTACCTTTTTCCCGGAGAAAGACTTCTTGATAGTTTGAGTTGCCAGTTCCGTGGAGAGGAAAGGGGCCTGAGCGTCCAGCTTACTGATCCCTTGGGGCTCAAAGATGTCCACATCAATCTGTACCATTGAAGCCAGTTAGGTACCAAATCCTCATTTAGGACAGCATCAAGACTCAGCCAAGAGCCAACATGTGATCTGACTACCTACTGTGTTGTGTGCATTGCCCATCCAGACCTTAACATGAGGCCTGGAACATCATCATAGGCAGTCCAAAAATGTCTATCACATGAAGATGTGCAGACCCAAACCCCTCAACTCTGCTACTATTTAGGTGCCAGCAATAGCTGCAGCCCCTAGGGATTCCCAGGAATTTTTGGCTTACCAGTGACCTGAATATTTAATATCTTTGGTGATCTGTCTGTTAGTCCTGAGAAATGCAGGAACCCCTATTTAGCAGATAAGCAAAGGCTCGGAAACAAGGAAGGAGTGATAGGATCGAGGGCGTACCCTCCCCTACAAGATCTGGGGAGCTCCAATGGGGCCCATATTGGAGTGTCAGTCCCCTTGCTTATGTTCTCAGGCCTAGGTTGGCAGGTGGTGTATGTTGAGCCAGTGTTGGTAGACATGGTGAGGAGGGGAAGGGAGGGGGGAGGGAGGGGGAGGAAGGGAGGGGGAGAGAAAAAGAGAAGGAAAGAAAGAGAGAGAGAGAAGTTCCGCATTGGGCCTGCAACCCACCTCAAAATGCTGCACCAGCTGCTTGGGCTTGACTTTGATGTCAATGTTGTACTGTGTAAGTGTTCTCTTCAGCACTTCCTCATATGTCAGCCGAAATATGGCCTTGCTCTGGGGACCAATGGTGATGTGGATGGTGAACTGCTCCATGTTTCTCCCTAAGGCCCTGGACATGCCATAATAGGCAACAGGTAACCACAAGCAGACAGAGAGCAAGTGATATACAAATCATTGTCAACTAAAACATAGACTTTAGAATCAATTTCTCTTTTTTCCATTCTGATCCCAAGGTTCCTTAACTCTCACACTTGGCTTAGCTTGGCCACCCAAGGTCAAGGATCAAAGATGACTTCTCACTTCTTCCTGGAGGCAGATCTGGGAAAAGAGCAAGGGCAACCTAGCCTCGCCCAGTGTGCCCATATTAGGTGTTTTCCTCATTCTTCCTTCTACCTGGTAGTCCTCTGCTCTGTCCTGGTTGTCCTTGCCAACCAGGAGCTAGCCCAGCAGGGCTCAGAGTTTACCTGACAAGACCAGCATTCTCTCCCAAGATGGCTGCTTTCCGGTACTGCTTCCATGCAGTCACTTTGTCCTTTATGTTCCCAATGAATGCCTTCCCATCTGTTGTGCTGCAGGGAAAGAAGTAGTTCCTCAGGAGGGGAGGGACCAATCCTTGACCACATAGGTCCATTATATTGGCGATGTACTGAGCCTAGAGCCTGAGGAGGCCCTGTCCATGTGAACCCTTGTAGGAGTGTCTCCCAACTCACCTTCCACTGCCCACTGTCCAGGAGACCCATAGCAGTGTAGTGGAAAGCCACAGTCACAGAGGCTGGCTCAGATGCTAGCCTTTGCTCCTTGGAGCCTAAGATCCCAAGAGTCCTCACTTTGCGTTCTAAGGTGGAAGCTAAGATTAGCCCTAAAGGGCTTTTTCCCCTCTCCCCTCAGAGCAAGGGCTGGCCATCGCCCTTCCAGAAGTGAGGAAATGGCCTGCACTGCCTGCCCTCTCTGGCCTTAGGCTGGTTCTAGTGAATGAACACCACTGGAATGAGGGGTTGGGAGTCACACAGGACACACACATGGCAAAGTCACTGATGAAGGCGGTCTTGGGGATTTCCACATCGAAGGCCACTTCTCTGGCTTCATTAGCAGTGTTGATCACCTGGCTGGTGATGACATAGTGGGCAAAGCGAGAGGTGACTTTACAGTTGACTTTCAAACTCCGGATGATCACACCATTGACTGTCTGAAATAAGAGGGGGAGAAACAGAGGTGATATAACCTGGGACAGGAGCCTCTGAACCAGTGAGAGACCTCATTGCACCCAGCTCTGATACAGGATGTCCAGAGGCAGGAAGAACAGGACAGACCTCCTGCTAGAAGGATATATTTTCTTGAGATTGTGCAGTCGAACACACGGTAAGGTGGAAACGATCTCCCATTTCTGGGAGCTGGAAGCTGCCCACCTCCACCAGCACTGATAAGAGGGTTTTTACTCCTGAGGGGTGGTAGAGAACAAACCTGTAATTGGGGCCCCATACAGACCCTTTTGCCAAGATCTTACTCACTGTGTCCACAGCCTGCCGTTTCTGCAAAACAAAGCCAGGACTAAGTGAGAGTGGGAATGCTGGGGACCGTGGCCCATCTATTCAGGGAGGAGGTACAGCCTCAGTCCTCTGCCCCCCAATCTCACTCCCTGCTGCTTGGAGGTCACCTCTTCCAAGGGTGGTCTGGCCAATGGGAGATAGCCCAAGACCCTGAAGTAGAGGCCTTGTGTCTCTCCAGGGCCTTGTCAAAGCACAGCTTCCTGTCTCTTCCCTGAGGACTTAGCCACGTACCTCACTGCCCTTGGGCCTGCGAGTCTCCAGGCCCAGAGTGGGAATGGCTTGCAGGGCAAGGAGGGACATCAGGTACACGCACAACAGCACTCGAAGCCCCATGGCACCATCCATGGTCTTCAGACTCCCACTGTCCTGTCACTTCCCTCTGACCATTACTCAATACTGTGCTGGAAAAACATGGATTAAACATTAGACACAGTGAAGGCAAACAGCACAATTAGAAGAATCAAAAAATGGGCAAGAAGCCAGGCACTGGTGGCTCACACCTATAGTCCTAGCTACTCAGGAGGCTGACTATAGTTTTAAGCCAGCCTGGGCAGGAGCATCTGTGAGACTTTTATCTCCAATTAACCACCCCCAAAAGTTGGACATAGAGCTGTGGCACAAGTAGTAGAGGACCAGCCTTGGGCAAAAAAGCTCAGGGACAGTCCCCAAGCCCTAAGTTCAAGCCCCAAGAACTGCACACACATACAAAAAATGGCAAGAAAAGTTTTCTTCCTGGAGCAGGGAAGGGGGGTGCGGGGCGGGGCTCTGGACCTCCTGACCCTGGGCTGTACTAGGTTTATACTACCCTCCAAACTATGCCCTTAAATATAGAACTGCACTTTATGAAGCCTCCCAACAGCTCATCCCGTCCTGGGTCTAGCACTAGTCATACAGTGCACATTTGGAAGAAATCAGTTAAAAGTAGATTTGCAAACCATTAAGCTTTACTTTCAAGACTCTTTAAGCCTTTTGGCCATACTCTGGCCAGTGAGGCAGACATGGTGGTTTAGAAAGTACTATGACTTGTAACAGCCTCCAGGGTTCTAATGGTGTCAGCCCAGGCAATAGTTTTATCTGGGAAGTCTGAGGAAGGTATAAGGGGTGAGGCAGGCTTTTTGCCAATTGCTTCATCTCCTTGGACATTCTTACCCAGATAGGGAAAAGACAGAAAATGGCTTCATTATGATTATACCTGGACAAAAGAAGGGGAGACAATGGTGAATGACCCAAATGTACCTCACATGTCTCTCTAAGTCCTTTAATATTTAATTTCTATTCTCATAACTAGAAACTGGTTCCACACTAAGTAACAGAACAAAGACTCAAATCCAGGCAACTCAGACTCCAAAGCCCATTGTGTGATGACAGCACTCTCTGCTTTATGAAGGAGGAAAGAGGAAAGTCAAAGTTCCCAGAGGAAGAAGGCCCTCTCATAAATGTTCTAATACAGGTGCATCCATCCTCCCTCCTTCCCTCCCTCCCCCCTTCCTTCTTCTCTCCTTTCCTCCTTCCCTCCCTTTCTTCCTTCCTCCCCGCCCCTCTTTTTTTTGTGCTGATACTGGAGTTTAGGGCCTAGGGGCCGTGCCTTAGTTTTGTCTTTCAAGGCTGGCTACTCTACCACTTGAGCCACAGCTCTGCTTCTGGCTTTTTGGTGGTTACTTGGAAGAGTCTCTCACAGATTTGCCAAGTCTGTCTTTGTGACCCTCAGATCTCAATCTCCTGAGTAGCTCGAATTACCGGCATGAGCCATTAGTGCCTGGCATGGCTTTTTAACTTTTAGGATCAACCTTTCCTGTTCCCTACAAACCACAACACACTGGGCGAACACAGCCCCTTGGTGAGTCCAGTGCGGCCTAGTAAGGAACATGCTGGTTGTTGTGCTCCTGAAGAGCTGAGGAGACCTCACTAATCTCTGTTTGCTTGTCCTGGACTTTGTCGCACAGAGCAGCTTCTGGGAAAGGGTTTATTGTCCCTAGTCCAGGATAACCTTCTGACCTGTTTTCTGGCCTTTCTGGTAGATGAAGCAACATGACACTATATATCTGAAGCTCTGTTTATTTTCCTATACTAGTATGAAGCAAGTCTAGTGGGTGAGGAATGATTTCAGAAGTTGGGACACCACCATGATTAAATTTGGCTGCTGCGCTTTCTTTCTTTCTTTCTTTCTTTCTTTCTTTCTTTCTTTCTTTCTTTCTTTCTTTCTTTCCTTCTTTCTTTCTTTCTCTCTCTCTTTCTTTCTTCCTCTCTTTCTCTCTCTCCCTCTCTCTCCCTCCCCCCCTCACTCTTTCTTTCATTTTGTGCTAGTAGTGAGGCTTTGGCTCAGGACCTTGATGGTTCCCCTTCCCTTTTTTGGTAAGTTATTGATAAAGGGGAGGGCTACCACTTGAGGCATGTTGAGGAAGAACACAAGTTAGCCACTTAAGGAACAAATAGTTATTGGAAAAACCAGTTCTTGGAAGGTTCTTGGAAAACCCACACGCGAAACTGCAGTTATACCCCCTAGCAGCTGCCAGTTAGGCAAAGGGTTGAGAATGGACAGGTGGGTCAAGTTCCTGGAAAAAGCAGCTGTAGGGTCATAAACAGTTAAAAAATATATTGTTTCCTAAAAATATATTGTTTTCTGCATTCCTATGGTTAGTCTTATGTATCCCAACCAATGATCTGCTTGCTGTGTATGATTTAACCAATCCTATAATCACTAAGTTGGAAAGCCCCTACCCTTACTGGAAATAATTATGCCCCTAACCAATGAGCTTACCCTGAAATTTGCCCGCAAAATGCTGACCAATTGCTGACCAATTATGTAGAAGCCCATGAACCTTAAACCCCCTCCTATTTGCTGGAAACCCTATAAGAACCCTACTGAACATGAGGTGGGGGCTCACATCCTGACCTACAGTGCCGGTGATGATTGTGAGTCTAGGCTCAAGCTTGCGAATAGATGACTCTTTTGCTGTTTGCATTGGTTGTGGTCTCTGGGGGTCGCTCGGGGGGTCTCAAGTTCGAGCCTAACAAGGCACACCTCCACTTCCAGGTATTTTTGGTACCTAATTGGAGATAAGAGTCTCTTGGACTTTCCTGACCAGGCTGGCTTCAAACCTCAATCTTCAGATTTCAGTCTTCTGCATAGTTAGGATTATAATTGTGAGCTATCGATGCCTGGCTTTTAGTTTATTTCTCAGACAGAGTTTCTTATATTGCACAGGGCCAGTCTCAAATTGTGATTCTCCCATTGATTTTAGGCCCCACGTGCTAACTCTTCGGTCATCTCTGGCCACTCGCCTGCAATGTGCCAAATAAATGGCAAGTAATAGTGAACAGCAGAGAAAGGCTGTGTGGGCAGCTGAGGGAAAAGGAAAGATACCTCATCTTTGTCAACCAGACACTTACCTTAGGTATAAATAGGAGGAAAAACTGGGGTAGGGGTGAGAGGTACTTGTTAGCACCATTTTGTCTCCCAAGTATCTAGGATTGCAAGTGTGCACCATCATACCTGGTCCCTGTAGTAGGAAGACCCCTACTCAGGCAGGCAAGCCCACCTAGTCGTCTGGAGTGACAGAGCCCACTGCAACAAAGTTGTTAACAAAGAAGCAACTTTATTGAGAAGGTTCCTACACTGACCTGTCAGGCCACAGCACAGGCTCGGGAGCTGATACTGTGACCCTGAGCAGCCCCCATTCTTTGGTTTTTAAAGGCAAAAATCCATGAGGTCGAGACTGGTCACTTGCAGGTGACCAATGGGATCATAACACACAAAGTCTTGTATAATCATACCAGACCACACACAGGTGGCCAATAGGCGGAGTTTACCGTAAGCATGTGCAAAAGGCAGGGTTTACCATAAGCAAGTGGTGTCACCAGTTGGAGCCAGATTACAACCTATCTGTTTTATGGGTCAGTCTTTAACTCAACAATCAAGGGTGGGTTAGGTTGTTAAGGGGAGGGGGAACAGATGCATTTTTTTTTCATTCTAGGAACTAGGCCCATCAAGTTTAAAATCCCTAAAACAGGGGCTAGGAAGGTGGCTCAGTGGTAGAGCGCTAGCCTTGAGCTAAAGAGCTGAGGGACAGCGCCCAGGCCCAGAGTTCAAGCCCCAGGACCAGACCAAAAAAATAAAAAATAAAAATAAATAAAATCCCTAAAACAAAGGCAAAGCTCAAAATGGAATCCTACCAGCTGGGGCCCCATCTCAGGGTCCACTTCAGTCCCTCTATGTAAATTATTGAAGAATGATCATCAGCAAGCCGAGCCATTTTTGTATTCCCATTGATAATGCAAAAAGATTCTTATTCCTCTACAGTTTTGGTCTATATCCTAATAGACTTGGGTAAAAGCATTTGTCAAAATTATCTAATTCCAGGATGGGAAGGTGGCTCAGTGGTAGAGTGCTTGCCTTGCATGCATGAGGCCCTGGCTTCAATTCCTCAGCACCACATAAGCAAAAAGAAAAAAACTGGAAGTGGTGCTGTGGCTCAAGTGGTAGAGTGCTAGCCTTGAGCTGAAGAGCTGAGGGACAGCACCCAGAACCAGAGGTCAAGCCCCACGACCGGACCCAAAAAGAAAAAAAATTATCTAATTCCATACTTAAGCTTGTACATTTTGTGTACAATGCCAATTTCATCTCCATAAGAAAAACCAAACAAGCCATTATGTGGTGTAACCCTAGCTACTTAGAAGAGAGAGAGATCAGGAGATTCTAGTTTGAGATCAGCCCAAGCATAAAAGTTTGAGAGATTCCATTTCAATCAATGGCTAGGTACAATGGCTTATGCCTAATAACCCAAACTACTGGGGAAGCACAATGGCTGAGTGTAATGAAGCACTTCTGTCACCCCACTGGCAAAGGCAAACACAAATAGGAGGAATGTATTGTGGGCCAGCTGGGGAATAAGGCAAGATTTTAATCTTGAAAATAACCAGTGCAAAAAAGGGACCAGTATAGTGGTTCAAGAAGTAGAACACCTGGTTAGATTCAGACCCTGAGTTCAAGCCACAGTGTAAGAGATACTTAAAAGCTGCTCTTGCTGAGGAACACTGACTGTTTGGGCCCACAAATTAGTTAAAACCTGTCAGCAGTTTACAGCTGTAATCCTAGCTACACAGGAGGCTGAGATTTGAGAATTGCAGTTAAAAGCTAGCCTGGACAAGGAAGTTCGTGAGACTCTTATCTCCAATAACCACCAAAAAAATCCCGAAGTGGAGCTCAAGTGATAAAGTGCTAGCCTTGAAAGCAAAAAGTCTCAGGGACAGTGCCCAAGCCCTGAGTTCAAGCTCCAGGACCAGCACCCCCTGACACAAGGGGGAAAAAAAAAAACAGGAGAAAATCTGGTCATTCTTGCCTCCATTTTGTATCTACATTCTTTGCTCTGAGCCATTATCTCCTGTAGTTATTTTACAAGCATCTTGAAAGCGAACACAGAAAACCAGGGCAATAGTCATTGTGCCAGGCCACAGACCCCCCAAAGACCACCAAGGAGCCAAATCCGATGCAAGTACAGGAGAGCCATTTATTGCAAGCTCGAGCCTGGACTCACAATCATCACTGACACAGCAGGTCAGAGTTGTGAGCCCTGACCACATGTTCAGCAGGGTTTTTATAGGGTTTCCAACAAGAGGAGGGGTTTTCACCCTAGCAGTTACATGATTGGTTTAAGGTTTTTGGGTTTCCACCTAATTGATCAGCATTTCATGGGCAAGTTTCAGGTAGGTTCATTGGTTAGGGGCATAATCATTTCCAGTAAGGGTAGGGACTTTCCAACTTAGTGATTACAGGATTGGTTAAATCATACATAGCAAGCAGATCATTGGTTGGGATACATAAGACTAACCATAGGAATGCAGGCAACAATATATTTTTTAACTGTTTATGACCCTACAGCTGCTTTTTCCAGGAACTTGACCCACCTGTCTATTTTCCAGTAACTGGGGTCATGTTTCTCAGCCCTTTGCCTAACTGGCAGCTGCTAGGGGGTATTATTGCAATTTCCATTGTGGGTTTTCCTGAGAACTTTTCCAAAAACTGTTTTTTTTCGACAACTGTTTGTCCCTTTAGTGGCTAACTTGTGTTCTTCCTCAACGTAGCCAGGTGTTAATATTATTATAACAATGATCCACTCAACCGATTTTGAGATTTTTGAGACCAATTTGTCAGACTACATCTGACAGCACCTCTGGCCACCCCTCACCACCTCTGAACACCTCTGTGACTTGGGACTCTTAACTATACATGTATATCTCTTACCCTTTGCCCCTTAGACATTAAGCTAAGGCCAATGTGTGTACTTCAATGATGGATGAAACTTAACTCAAATCTTCCTGTGTCAAATGTGACATGTCTCTGCCCTTCACCATGTCTTTTTATTTTGGCCGGATTTGATATGTGAAATTCCTGAAGTTTGGGCCTGGGGTCTAAAATTCCAGTTTCATCTATGCTGCCCAGTAAAAACCCAACCAACCAAACGAACAAACAAATACGTATTGAACTCTAGTTAATGATATTGTTAAGTGAAGCCAGGCATTTGTTGGAAAACAGAAAATAGATTTTTATTCAGTAACAGTAGTTGCAGTAAGAGAAAGGACTGAGGTCTTTTTCAATTTGTGCAGAAGGGCCTGGACATTTTAAAGGGGAGAGAGGATTGCTTAGATAAAGAAATAATGACAAAAAATGACAAAAGGTGTGTGTGTGTGTGTGTGTGTGTGTGTATGCTCGCGCGCGCATGCATGCCAGTCCTGGGCACAGAGTCCTTGAACTCTGGGTGCTATCCCTGAGCTTTTTATGCAAGGCTAGGCTCTACCACTTGAGCCACAGCCATACTTCCAGCTTTTTCTGAGTAGTTTATTGGAGATAAGAGTCTCACGGACTTTCCTGCCTGGGCTGGCTTTGAAGTGTTATCCTCAGATCTCAGCCTCCTGACAAGCAGGCTGTCATTTTTAGGTATGAAGTGTATTAAAGTGGACCCTGAGATGGGGCCCCAGCTGGTAGGATTTTTGAGCTTTGCCTTTATTTTAGGGATTTTAGACTTGATGGGCCTAGTTCCTAGAATGAAAAAAAAATGCATCTGGTCCCCCTCCTCCTTAACAACCTAACCCACCCTTGATTGTTGAGTTAAAGACTGACCCATAAAACAGATAGGTTGTAATCTGGCTCCAACTGGTGACACCACTTGCTTATGGTAAACCCTGCCTTTTGCACATGCTTACGGTAAACTCCGCCTATTGGCCACCTGTGTGTGGTCTGGTATGATTATACAAGACTTTGTGTGTTATGATCCCATTGGTCACCTGCGAGTGACCAGGCTCAACCTCATGGATTTTTGCCTTTAAAAACCAAACAATGGAGGCTGCTTGGGGTTGCAGTATCAGCTCCGGAGCCTGTGCTGTGGCCTGACAGGTCAGTGTAGGAACCTTCTCAATAAAGTTGCTTCTTTGTTAACAACTTTATTGCAGTGGGCTCTGTTACTCCAGAGGACTAGGTGTGCTTGCTTGCCTGAGTAGGGGTCTTCCTAATATAGTATCAGTACTTCTAATAAAGCACAGTGATGTGCTCAGTGCAAGACTGATTGACATGCTTTGAGAATTAAAAAATAAAAAACTTGTAGGAATCTTTTTTTTTTTTTTTTGGTGGATCCTAGGGCTTGAACTCTGGGCCTAGGCGCTGTCCTTCAGCTCTTCAGCTCAAAGCTAGCACCCTACTACTTGAGCCACACCACCATTTCTGGCCTTTTCTGTTTATGTGGTGCAAAGCAATCGAACCCAGGGCCTCATGCATGTGAGGCAAGCACTCTACCACCACTGAGCCACCTTCCCCAGCACCAATTTTAATTCCCATTTCTTGCATGGAAAGCTAGAAACCTTTTTCCATTTCTCTCGACAATGACACTTGTTTCGTGTGTGTGTGTGTGTGTGTGTGTGTGTGTGGTGTGTATATCCTAGGGCTTGAGCTTAGGGCCTGGGCACTGTTCCTGAGCTCTATCACTTGAACCCTGCTCCACTTCCGGATTCTTGGTGGTTAATGGGAGATAAGAGTCTCACTGACTTTCCTGCCCAGGCTGGCTTCGAATCACGATACTCAGAGTAGCTAGGATAATAGGCTTGAGTCACTGGGGCCCTTCTGTTAATACTGCTTTAGAAACATATACTCTTGCTAAAACTTTCAAGAATGACTGAATCACACTTGCAAATGGCCTCTAACTTGCAACGGCTCAGACCGGAACCTATCCCAACTTCAATCCTGCAGCTGGACTGAGATTCCGGAAGTCGGCCTCACTCTGGTGAGGTCGCTCTAGCCGCCCAGCGCCGAGGCTCTATGTCAGGTCCTCCCGGAGCTTCGGAACCACTCTGGCCGCGCAGATGGCGCCTCTATGGTAAGGTCCTTGGCTGTCGGAGCATGCGCGGAACTTCCCCAACAGGATCGCTATGGCAGCGGCGTCGCGGTGGGCCGGGCTTCGGTGCTGTGGCCAGGCCTTCTCCACGGCCGACCTCTCCGCCGCCTCTTGGGCATGAGCGGGGCCTCTCGCCACGGCCTGCTGCCCTACCTGCCGGCGCCCCCGCTGCTGGATCCCGAGGGTGGGCCCGCGCTGGGAACATGCTCCATTCCGCCTACTGCTACGTGCGGGTCGTGGGCAGGGGCAGCTACGGGGAGGTGACGCTCGTGAAGCACCGGCGGGACGGCAGGCAGGTCAGCGGGGCCGGGGCCGGGGCCGGGCCGGGCGAGGGCCTCCGCGGGCCGGGGTGCGCCCAGTGCGCGGCCTGTAGGTCTAGGCCCGGGATGGTGTGAAGGGGATCTTCGCGGACCACACTTCCTTGGGAAAATCTTCCTGGACTCTGAAGACAAGGCCAGGCCCACTGCGATATACACCCCAAACCCCTCTACTTTTGTAGTATTAATGAGTGGGCTTGACCTGCACAGTCCTCTCCCACCCCTGATATATCCCCGAGAGCAGATAATGCATTCCTAGGACCTGACAGCACAGCTTTTGTAACAACCACCTCCACCACCACCACCACCTCCACCACCTTCTCTACCTCCACCACCTCCACC